AGTGATGTTAAATATGTTGTTTCTTCTATTATTGTTGAGTTGGTTCATCAAGGAATTGACCCTGAATCTTGTCATGAGAATATTCTTGTGTTGAATTTGGGTTTTTATGATGTTAACAAGGTGGTTAATGCTGATTTAAATCTATCTTAGTTGCTTCTCCTAACATAGTTGAGAAGGCTCTGATGGATCTTCATAATAGTTTGTCTCATGATAACTTGAATGACTCCTCTTGTCGTTGTTGTCTCTAGTGGAGTGGCTTCTTTGGGACTGATTTTGTCCTCTAATGGTATGGTTGCGAATGAGGGTTTGCCTTTGATTGATATATATTCTTGTTTCTTTTATATCTAATGATGCGTTGAAAGCTCAATTGGCGTTAAATGTGAAGGAATCTTATGTGGCCCAATGTGATTGGCTTGATGAGTTTAATTATTTCTTCCCCTTGAGGAGGTGATGGGGAGGATTTTGTTTGGTCTGAAGATGAGTTTCATGCGAGTTATAATTTGAATTTGGGTCGGATAGTTAACAAAGTCTCTTCTTCTCTTGGGGGTGGTAAGCATCGTAAGCAAAAATCTAAGAAGTAATTCCTCTTGGACTTTGTTCGCTTGATTTGACTGTTGTGGTTTGATGGTTGGGCTGTTGATTGTGGTTCTTTTTTGGCTTTGTTGTTTGAGTTTGGGAATGTTGTGGCTTTACTTTGGGTGTCGGATGGGTTTTTTATTCTTCTGTGGTGGTTTGTTTGTTCCACCTTTGTTGGTTGATTGGGCTATGTTCGGTTTTCTTTTTTCTTTTTCTTTATTGTTTCTTACTTGATATTTATTGATTTAGAAAAAGCATATGATAAAGTTCCAAGATAAGTGCTATGGAGAGTTCTTGAAAAGAAAGGAGTCAATAATGCTTATATTCAAATCATTAAAGATATGTATGCAGGAGCTATTACTTGTGTTCAAACACAAGGTGGATTGACCAAGTATTTCCCTATTTCGGTTGGGTTACATCAAGGATCAGCCTTAAGCCCATATCTTTTTGCTTTAGTCTTAGATGTTCTCACTAGACATTTGCAAGAGGATGTACCTTGGTGTATGCTTTTTGCTGATGATATTCTTCTTGTTGATAAGACTAGAGAGGGAGTTGAAGGTAAACTTGAATTATGGAGGTCAACCTTAGAGACTAAAGGTTTTCGCTTGAGTAGATCTAAAACGGAATACATGGAGTGTAATTTTAGAACGGAATATATGGAGTGTAATTTTAGTAGTAATAGACCTAGTGAGGGGATTGTGACTTTGGGCGATCAAGTCATTAATAAGAGTACACGTTTTAGATATCTTGGATCAATTGTTCAAAGTGATGGTGAAATAGATGGGGATATTATCAGCAGAATTCAAGTTGGATGGTTGAAGTGGAGGAATGCATCGGGCTTGTTATGTGATAGAAATGTACCCCTCAAACTTAAAGGAAAATTCTATAAGATGGTAGTGAGGCCTGCAATGCTTTATGGTGCTGAATGTTGGCCATTAAAAGAGAAGCATAATACTAAGTTAAGTGTGGCAGAGATGATGATGCTCAGGTGGATGAGTGGCTTTACCCTTAGAGATAGGACACGAAATGAGCATATACGTGAAAAGGTTGGAGTAGCTCCAATAGAAGATAAGATTAGAGAGAGTCGCCTTAGATGGTTTGGTCACATAAAACGACGGCCTTTCGATGACCCGGTTAGGAGAGTAGAGGTATTAGATTTGACTTATGTTAAGAAAGGTAGGGGTAGACCTAAAAAGACTTGGTTAGAAAATATTAGGAATGACCTTTCTTTATTAGATTTAAACAAGAATTTGACTTTTAATAGGACACAATGAAGAAAAAGGATTCATGTAGCCGACCCCACGTAGTGGGATAAAGGCTTGATGTTGTTGTTGTTGTTGTAAACTAGTGGTGTACACTATGATTTCATTCCAAATTCATACGTATTTAACACCATACTATTTAAATGCAGTTCATTTTGATTTATTGGTTGGGAGCTTTAGCTACCTACCAAGAGATCCTTGACCAAATATACTCTTTAGTCGCTCCTCTCATTGCCACAAGCCCTAATCTAGTTTTTGCTTTGAAGCATCTAAATTTATTACTTTCGGTTGAAGCCCTAATTTCATAGGCTAGGCTTTCGATTGAACCTGACCTTGTTGTTTCTCCTGTATGTGGTTATTCTGGTTGTTGAGAATATTGGCTCTATTTCTTCTAATTTGATTGAAATTCCTTCTCCCGCTCCTAATATTATTAATGTTGGAAATTGTTGTGTTTCCTCATTTCAAGAGACTGGTGAGGATATATATAATTGTGGGGGCTGATAATAAAGTTCTTTTAATGGCTGCTTATGATGTTAAATCTATTGTTTCTTCTGTTGTTGTTGAGTTGGTTTATCAAAGAATTGATCATGAATATTCTCATAAGAATATGCATGTGGTGATGAATTTGAGTTTTTGTGATGTTAACAAGGTGATTGATGCCAGTTTAAATGCATCTCCTATTGCATTTCCTGAAGTTATTAAGAAGGCTCCCATGGATCTTCATAATGGTTTGTCTCATGATAGCTTGAATGACTCCTCTTATGGAGTGGTTGTTGTCTCTAGTGGAGTGGCTTTTCTAGGACCGATTTTTGTCCCCTAATGTTATGGTTGCGAATGTGGATTTGCCTTTGATTGATATTTTCGATTCCTCTTATATCTAATGATGTGTTGAAGGCCCAAACGATGTTAAAAGTGAAGGATTCTTGTGTGGCTCAATATGATTGACTTGATGAGTTTGTTTCTTCCCCTTGCAGATTTGATGAAGAAGATTTTATTAGGTCTAAAGAAGAGTTTTAGGTGAGGTATAATTTGAATGTGGGTCTCATAGTTGACAAAGCCTCTTCTCTTTGGGGTGGTAAGCGTCGTAAGCGAAAATCTAAGAAGAAGAAATTATTCTCGAACTTTGTTTGCTTGTTTTGGTTTGATGGTTGGGTTGTTAGTTTTGGTTCTTTTTTCGACTTAGCTGTCTGGGTTTGGGAAGGTTGTGGCTCTGCTTTGGGGTTCATGTGGGTTTTTTATTCTTCTATGGTGGTTGGTTTGTTCTATCTTTATTGGTTGGTTGGGTTACGTTTAGCTTTTCTTTTTGTAAGAAGTTGCAAGATGTTGTCTTCAGACCTCTAGTGGTGCTGGCACTGGTTGCTTCCATTTGGTCGCTCTTAGTTGGATAGTTGGCTCCCCTTGTGGTTTTGTTATTGGTTTATTGTCTTTTCTTTTTATTGATCTTGTATTCAAATTGAATCTAAGGCTCAGAGATTTTGCTTTAAATTAATGTTGTATTTTAGAAGGCTTTGGATTCATTAAGGACTTATAACTTTGCTTTACATTAATGCATAGACCTCTTATTTGAGTTTTATCAAAAAAAAAAAAAAAAAAAAAAAAATCTAATTTTTTTACTTAATTTTCTTTTAATCATCTAATTTTATGACTTATACACATCTATTAATTTTTTTGGGAAATACATCTATTAATTAATTCAAAGCAATATTTTAAACTATAATGGCTATATATCACACAATAATTCACTAGAAATTTAATAATTATTAGATCTATTTTAAAAAAACCCTAAACCCTAAAAAAGAAAATCAACTAAAAGTAAATAAAGATTAGCTAAGAAAAAAAAAAAGATTAGCTACAAATATTAAATGAAATATCCTTTAATGTCATAAAAAAAGAATGAACATTTAGAAAAATGCCTTGTTGTCAAATAATTATCTCTTACTCCAAGAAAAGGAGAAATTAAAACCTCATGCAAGCATTCTCTTCATTAGATTATAAAAAATAGTTTGAAATGTGATTAATTAGGACCGTTAATCTAAAATTTATTCATCTCTCTCACACCTCGCAGTAGTAATTAACGACTGCCTTTATACCTCTCCACAGAAGATGAAGCCAAAGTCCCTCGTCCTTCACCTGTTTCTTCATGTCTCCTCTTAATGGACCAGTTTGCCTCGAAAAATAGCTACAGAACAAGTGAAGAATGCAGCAAATCCCTTCCCTCGATCCATCCCCAAACAAAAAACCAAAAAAGGAAAGCAAAAGAAGAAGAATAAAAGAACTGAAACTCTTCTCATATTTCTCTCTCTAAGAAAAACAAATTTATATAAAATACAGGACAATTATATATCTATTATCCATAAATTTCAACACAATAAAAAAAATTATATAAAAATATATATATAATTATGTAATGTTAGAAGGAAGCCAAAAAAAAAATTGTGAAGAGCTTTCGATCTGAAGTTTTCGACCAGAAATATGTTCTATATACTATCATTTTAAATAAAGCCAGATTCCATTAACATAATTAGCACAAATGCAGGCATAACAAAGACTGTTAATGCAAATATATGCTTACAAGTAAAGCTTAAAATCCTCATAAAAAGCTCATTAATTTCTACTGTTATTAGGATCATATAGTTCGCTACAAGTAGGTGGAAGATAATGATGATGAACGTCTAAACTGTTTGACAGATAAAGAACTCACCAGCTGAAGTAATCCGATTCAACTCTTTCTTAATTTCTCTCGCTCTCTCTTCCATGCACCACGTTTCTTCTTCTACCTTTCTCAAGCCAGGTGGCCTTCCTCTTTCTTTGAAGGAAAATTTTCCAGCTGCGAAGCAACTTAGAGGACACAAATCCGAGTACAGTTGGATGATGATGATGATATATACTAACAAGCCACAGGCAAAAGAAGGAAAATCAAATCATTCCTTCATTTTCTTACCCAGAAGCTTCCCCTTTATCTCTCTCATGAAAGCTGCCACCTCAAATTAAGAGACCTCATTGATTACTATTTGTACAAGCTTGCTCAAATCAGACATCGATCATTACTACTAATCATCACCAACAAAAGAGGGGGACAAAAACAAAGCCAAAAGTAGTAAAAATTAGGAAGCCAACAAAGCCACAAAAACAAAACGAAGAGCTTAAGAAGAACAGGACGAAGAAGAAGAAGAAGAAGAAGAAGAAGAAGAAAGACTAAAAAAAGAAGGTTTAGAAAGATGGCCTTCCTCCTCCCGTAGCCCACCCATATGCCTCTCCCGGCATCTGCACGTTGTTCAATAGATTTTGTTGCAGGCCGTGAAATAAACCCGGCGGCGCTCCCCCTCCCTCCGTCATCGGACCTCCGCCCGACGTCGGAGGCGATCCCATCATCCCCGGTGATCCCATCCCCCCTGGAACTGCCATCGTTTCATCCTCCTCAAGCGGCAATCTTTCATACGCTGCGTTCCCAAACGAAGCCGCCATTATAACCACAGGTCCAGAAGCTATCAACGGCCCCACAACACTCCCTCCAACAACTTGCCCCTGTCCGCCGGCTAAGTAAACAGTCAGTCCCGTCGCCGCAGGCGGCGCCGGCGGCGGGAGAAACGAACCTGAAAGTGAAAGAATTTCGAATCGGCCGTGAAGGCTAACAACAGCAGTACTCGAACCAGGTTGCCGGAGCTTAACGTTTGTAACGGTACCGCTACCGCTAAGAACACAAACGCCGCGCTGGCGGCGACGGGCGAAAGCTGCAAGGCTATCGACTATATCACAGCCACCGGCTATTTCCATAACGTGGGAACGGAGGGCGTTTGCGCTGTCGCGGGTGATTATAATTGGCGGCTTCGGCTTATTCTTAGATCCGGCAGGTCGACCGCGTGGGCGACGCATCATATCCCCGTCGCTACCGTTTCCTTGAATGATATCCTTACCCTCACCACCGCTATGGTTGTTGGAACTATCATCGTCGATGCTATCGCGTTTCTTGCCGCGGTGAAGGATCAAGTCGTCGGCGTCTGATTTGGAGTGTTGGTGAAGTTGGGGAGGAAGGTGGTGGAGCTGTTGGTGGAAATCACGGGTGTGGAAAGGTGGAGGGAGGTGGTGGCCGTGTGAAGAAGCGGTGATTGGATCCATGGAGGATCCGAAAGAGATGCGAGCAAGAAAGTTAGGGAAAATTAAGAAAGGTAGGGAATTGAATAAGAAAAGTGGAGAAAGGTGAAGACTTTAGGATGTTGAAGCGCTTCTTATGCTTTGTTAGCTCTTCTTCTTCATCATCATGAAATAATAGGAAGCTGAATTAGCTGAAGAATCTGTTCGTTCATCTCATGAAGTGAGTTCTTCTGATGGTTCTATTAGCCATAAGGTTTTTGTTGGTGGGGTTTTAGAGAAGGGTTAGGACCAGGGTTAGGTCAAAGGAACAAGCTGGTGGATTGGATGAGAAAGAGAGGAGAGAGAGAGAGAGCGCGCGCGCGAGCGAGCGAGAGGAAAGAGAGAGATTTTGGTTCTCTGCTCAGATAATAAGACAGAGTGCGCATGGGCGGTGGGTGGGCCCACGGCTGGCCCCACCATTCCGTTCATCTAACTCTTTTATCTCCCGCACGTTCTCCTCCGCTTTTTTCTCTCTGTTCTTGTCTTCGGATTGCTCCAACGGCGTACAGCCCGGCCCGGTCTGTCCTTTCAACATGGCCCACAAGCCCAGCTTGCGATCTGATGTCGCCTCCTCGGTGGACTGACGAAACTAACCTGCTACTTCTGCCTGTAGCGGGTCTTTTAATTGGTGGCACTCTCGTAGTAAAAAGAAATGTGAAGGGCTTTCTCCTAGTTCAGAGCTGCTGGTGCGCATGTGGGCTGGCCGGGTCTCTTCCATCGATAAAATTTCCTGGGAGGCGAGGCTTGGGAGTGGGGTCGGGCTCGGATCTCGGAAGGGCCCATCAATGAAGTGGGCCCCGCAAGTAACTTGCTGAGCGACACGTGGATAAAATTAGATCGCTTATTGCCATCGAACTACCAGTATTGTCCCCACTCTTCTGGCCCGGTCAGGCCCGACCCACGTCCGAGGTGACGTTTCGGCCGCGGGAAACTCCCCCCAGGCCTTAACTTGGACCACAATGCCACAGAGCCCGCATCGGCGGCCGGGTTGTGGGGCCCGCACAAGCCCGGCTCGTTCGGGCGGGTTACGATTCGCGTGGAGCTTAGGCGGGCCTCTTATTTAGTGCGCGCGCGTCAGCGGGACGCGCGACGAATCGGCGAGGAATTGGTTTTGTCTTCCGGCTTGAGGAAGACCACCACCAGCAGGTACAGTAAGAGATCTTTCTTCATAAAGAGAGCAGTACCGGCGTTGGAGCTCAACAGTTTCAGGTTCATAACTTCAATTTTATTATGTATTTTACACTGAATTGAAGGGCGGTTATTATTAAAGTATTGCATTAGAGAGGATAAACAATGTAAAACATTAAAAAATATCATATAATTATAGATGATAACACATCAATATATATATATATATATATATATATATATTTTTAAAACTTTCTTAAAAAAAATATTTATATTAGAAAACTGCTTTATATAGGAACTTTCTCTAAAGTTATTTTTTATATAATAATTTTCTAATCATTTTTATAAAAAAATATAATTCTCCTAAGTCTGTCTTAAATTTAATTGAATTTTATAATAAAATACTAGCTTAAATAAATGGAACCAATCTAAAAATTGGTTTCAAACTTTCAATTAGTTAGTTCTTCAAAGGAAAAAAAAAAAAAGTTTAAATCTTTACTGAGAGAAAGAGATGTTTGGGGGCCATTTAGGTCATTTGGTGCAAAGGACAAGCCTCTAAAATGGGAGTGAAAAGAAGGTTTATATGTAGGTACTATGTAACAGCATAGGACTGAGCTAAGAGAGTGGGGTTAGGTTGCATGCAGGGAGAGGGAAGAGTGGCTCAAGGTTGGACTTGGAAAAGGAAATCTCAGGCTTGATGTTGACTAAGAGGGGATGCACTGTGTCAGCTATCTATTATCTGCATATGTAGTATGTATGTGACCTATATTTAAAAAACAAATTTAGAGCTTATTTATCTACTTATTTAGTTATTATTATTATTATTATTTTAGGACTACAATAACAATAATACCATCAAGTCTTTGTAGCACTACTTGGGTCGGCTACATGAATTCTTTTTATTAGTATATTTTAGGACATTTGAGCTTAGGATAAACTCTAACATGTATTATATACGCAAGCTTCACATTCAAGACATAGTGATTGATAGTAAAGGCTTCTTTGGGAGAGATTATTTTGTGCTAAAATCGGACGGGAGAATCATCCGGTACCGACGATCTACACTTTTGTGGGTGACGTGGCGCATTTTTTTTGGTCTCTGGACGACGTCCGAACTCCGCATAGAATAAAATTTCTCTTTTGGGATGGTTTTTTTACTTCTTCTTAAAATAACTTTCTAATACAAAAGTTCTAATTTTTGTACTAGATAGCTACTTTAAGAAGCAATAAGAAAGTCGTTTCAAATAAAGCCTAAAGCTCTCAACCAACAAACCAAAATAAGCTCAGTTTCATTAATTTGGATCAGAATAGTGTGCCTTATGTTAATGATTTTTAATTTTCTGGGTGGGGTTTTCCTCCAGCGTTCTGTTTGCTGGGTTCGTTCCAGGTCTTCGTGGTGTCTTTGGCCGGTTGGGGGTTTCAGGGTGGTTTCTGCTCATGTTTCTCTTCTCAGTTTTTGGTCGGGTTTGGTTGTTTCTGTGAGCTTGGCTCTTTGCTGGTGGTGTGGGTGTTGCATCATTGGTGGGTTTGATGGTTTGGCTTTTTTCTTTGTGTTGTTGACAGGTTGCATGCAGTGTTCTGTTTTTGGTCTGTTCATGTTAATGTGGTTCTTCATTGGGTGGACTAAGCATTGCAGTTTTTCCCATTTTTACTTATGCTGTACTTTTTTCGCTGTCTATGTTTTTGTTTGCTGCTCTTGGTGTTGGAGCATTTTGCTTTCAATCTGATTTTAGTTATGCATACTAACATCATGCATTGCTTTGAATTTTTTAATTTGGTCTATCTGTGTTTCATGGTGGTTACCCGGATGGGGTCGAATTTTTATGGGACCAACTTTATTGCCTGGAATTTTTTGCCCTGGTGGGTGTGGTTTTGTGGTAGCAGGTACCCGATTGGCTATTTCACTAATGAGTATATTTCCTTGTGGGACTTTTGCAATCCTAGGAGCATATACAATTTATTGTTCTCTATTACGGTATTTAGTTTTTGCAGCTTGTTTAATTTTTGCTCTAGTATCCTTGCAGGCATATTTTTCAGGTTTTTGGAGCTCCGCGCTCGTTTTGTGCAGGGTACGTGTGCTGTTCGAAGGGATAAGTCGAAAATGATTATTTTTTCCCTTTGCTTTTTGGATCATAGAATGTTACTAGATTTTTATGTAATTTTGATTAGTAGGGAACTCTGGCTCCTAGGTTTCTTTTTATTTTGAATGTAGCTCTTCGAAGCAGTAGTGAGCTAGAGGTCCCTTTAAGAACTGTGTAACTTTTTCCTGTTATTAACGCGTAGGCCCGTAGGTCGGTTTTAACCAAAAAAAAAGCTCAGTTTCATTTATCTTTTCATTATATTGTTTTTTGTCAGCCGTAGAAGTCTTACTTGAGTAAGCTCAGTTTCATTTATCTATACCCCCAATATATATATATGGAATTTTATCTTTTACATTTTCTATTTTGTTAATATTTAGTTATTCATCTAATAACTTTGCCCACCCTAATAATAATAATAATAATAATAATAATAAAAGCTAGTTCCACCCATATATGATGTATAATCTTTTTTTTAATAAAGATTATCAACTTTTCAGCTAAGTTAATGAATTTGATAAGTTTGATATTATTAAATTTTTTCTAATATAGCTGTTAGATCACACTACAGGAAAATCATAATTTTCTGAAGCATTGAATCTTTATCTGCTAGTAAAAGCTCAACGGAAATGCATTCCTGCTACTGGAAATCCGCCAAAAAGTTCTTCAATGTGGATTTCTGACGATAATCTGCTGGAACCAAAGAAGGAAAAATGGTGGGAGCTAGGATCCATTGGAATTTCCGGTAGACATTCAAATGAATAAATCCGTTGGGTCTGCCTCCCTGAAAGATATCATGTTTTATTTTTATCCTGTTGACTTCCTGTTCTACTCAGGAGCCAATTCTTTCCTTGCATTGCATGGCTCTAATTAGCCTGATTGTTTAGATGACCCGCTTGAGGACTGATATGTCTCCAAAAATTATCTTGATCGGGCACGAATCCTGAGGCATAATCAAATTACAAACTTCAGAAATTAAATCGGAGACCATCGAAACTCCAATTTCAACAAACTTATAATCGAATTGAACGTCTCGAGAAGACAAGCCCAACGACACCAAATTCAACTCAATCCGAGCCCGAATGGGTCCAAATCAAAGGTCTGAAGCGTTGTTGAAGGGCTCAAACCACAATTTGGATTACCATACGGTTTCCAAATATGGCATTCTTAAATTTGAATCGAGCGGCTCGACGAGATGAATCCGACGAGCCCAAGATCATTTAATTCTGAAATTGTTAAGGCATCCAATTGACTAATAAACAGTTCATGATCAACGAGATCAATATCAGCCGTCCATTTAAACACTCCCATTTTGACTTTGATCTTCCACTTATTTACAAGCCATGTTACTCTCAAAAAACTATAAATAGGCCATCATTCTTCACATAAAGGGGGAGGAGAAGAGGAGAAGGAAGGGAGGAATTAGGGAGCTCTCTTGCCATCGACCACCGCCGGAGTTCTTGCCGACCACCGCTGGGGTTCCTGCCGGTCACCGCCGGAGTTCATGTCGACCACCGTCGGGGTTCCTTCCGACCACCGCCGGAGTTCCTGCCGACCACCTTCGGAGTTCTTCCCGACCACCGTCGGACTTCCGCTAGTCCGCCGACCATTGTCGGACTTCTGCTCGTCCGCCGATCACCGCCGGAGTTCTTCCCAACAACCGACAGACTTCCACCAGTTCGCAGACAACCGCCAGACTTCCTCCAGTTCGTCGAACATCGTCAGACTTTTACCAGTCCGCCGACCACCATTAGACTTCATCCAGTCAGCCGACTGCCTCCGGACTTCTGCCCGTCCGCCGACCATCGTCAGACTTTCGCCCGTCCGCCGACTATCGCCATACTTTCGCCAATCCTCCCAATAATTGTTATCCGACTACGGTCATCCTGACCTCCATCGCATGTCGACTACAATCTTTTGGACCTCCGTCATCCGCCTACTATATGGTCCCC